AGTGTTATCGAGCAAAGACAAAAGAAAGGAAACACAAAGTCCTTCGCTGACTGTTTTACAGACTCTTGGAAATCTACAAAAAAAAACCTGAACAAAGTAAATAAATAGAAAATTCTCTGTTAAAATTATTAATAAACATGAGCAAATACACAGAAATGACTGACAGAGCAACAGACAGCTGTACAGAGAGGGAAGTGATGGTATAGCTGAGCAGAGAGCAGTACAGTTGGGGTAGAGATGAAAAGGCAGACTGATGCATTCAAGGACACAGCAACGATGGAACGTTGCGACTCAACACCACTCGGAATTTTTATTCCCACTTGAAAAAATACACCAAGGCAAAAAATGCAAATAATGAAACAGGTCCCTTTCATGTTTCCCTGTGGTGAGACAGTGAGAGGGAGAGGAGAAAATACTGTAATTCAATAAAACGAAATTCCCCAGTGTTCCAGTGAAGCAACAAGCTAAGTAAACCTGGAGCTTCAACATTCCTGGTTCTATCCAGGGAGGAAACAAAGACGGGCTATTTCATCACTGGGAAATCAAATATAACAACAGTGACTCCGACTGGTAATCAGGAGGAGTGGAAACCAAACTGTGTTCATCTGCTCCTTTGTTTGCTGATCTCTGATGTCACTGTCTTCTAGACCTAATGAATGGAACATTTTCTTGATCACTGCTCATGCTTTTCTTTGCTAGATTTATTTGATTCCTTACCTTTGAAATTCCAGATTCCCCAGAACACCTGTAAACCTGTTAAACACCTCGTACAAGACAATCCAGGCTCTTCTCGTGGATCGTTCCACGTTGGTGGAATGAGATTCTAAGCACCATCAAAACATTCCTTTTCAAAAAGCTCTTGAAGACCCAGCTCTTCAGAGAGCACCTCCTGCCCTAGCTCTTTCCTGTACTCCCTTCTTCTTCTGCACTTATCTCCACCCTAGTTAAGAAGTCCCACTTCACTGAACGGCAGTCTCTTTTCAAGAGTTACCCTATATTTGATTATTAAATTTCCTATTGTAATTCTGTAGAGTCTATATGGTGACAAAATGCAGTGTTGGTCCACAGACAGACGAGCAGCCACAGGCAGAACTCACCTGCTGTGCTGACAATGACCAAAATGTAGCCAGAGTTCAAATGTCAAAGGTGACACATTCATGTCCCGTGTTAGAAATGTGTTAGGGACCACTTCACAACAACGGGGGGATTGTGGCCTGACTTCTCAAAGCAAACACCAATAGTCAAGTGCACAAACACATCCACGGTCTCTCTTTCACTAACACAGTCCTTTGACATGCAGATTGGCCACTTATGAGCTGTCGACAGTGATTAATGGCCAGGGAAAATGACCTGCTAACTCCCACGGTGTGACTGAGGAGAGCAGGTTTCATAAATATGTACATGCACGCACACACACACACACACTCGCAAGTAGTTAAAAGTGCATTTTTCAGCATGCCCACGAACAAACTTGATCACACACACAGGAAATGGGTGTGTCTGGGTCAGACTCTGGCTGTAGGACTGTCAGCCTGACATCAATCTCTGCCTGTGATTGCGGTGGATTTTTAAGCACCACATAAAAAGAAGTGGAAGGTTCACAACCTCCTGTTTATTCATATTCCTCCCGTCAGTGTCTCCAGTAGAAACAACGAGCGCTCCTCGGTTTCCCCTCCCATCTGTCCTGCCTCTCATCCCCTATTAAATGTGTAAACACTTCCATTCACATCTGTCTGTGTGCTCTTCAGCACCATCTCTCTGTTGAGACAGTACAAATGAATCTGTCTTTATGTCTCACTCTACACAGCTAATGAGCTCTCTGCAGCCAAGCTCAAAAAACGTCAAATAGATGGAGTGAGAGTTTTGTCCTGATGGAGCAGATGGGCAATTGGTGGCTGAGCCTGGCACTGGCTTCACACTGTAGGACCAGCAGGAGCTGATCTGACCAGCATCAGAACTGATGGATGCTTTTGTGAGATTGTGAATATTTACCATTTAAAGTGATGGTGCTCATTTACCCAGATCATTCAGAGTTTTATACTGGCCATTTGACATCTGGTCAGCACTAAAAGGATGCTGGAATTTCCAGTCATAACAAAACTGTCCTTCAGCACTTGTGTGGTGTGGCTCTGAAGCAACAGGAAACTGGTCAACATGGTTTGATTTTATCCTCCGGATAAAAGGTTGGTCATAAATGTCCAAGTCAGTAAAATTCCCCCTCCCTTCATTGACACGAAATTCACAAAAGTCTGGAGAACCATGGTTGTCGGTTCCCTCACTTGTCACTTGTGTCAAGGGCTCTGTTCTGTGTAAATATAAATTGTGTTTTAACGCTCCTCGATGGGTCGGTAAATGGAGAAGGAATTATGGGAGTAGTTTTAGGACGACCTTAAAAGAATGGACAAGAGTCTGCATATTTGCCAATATTTGCCTGTAGTATGAACATATTTTAGTATAATGAAGAGCCTCCTTAAATACATTGGCCTATAATTACATTACATGAAGAGTAGAAATAGAAAAGTCAGATATCATGAGGAAAACCCTAGTTAAAAACACACAGTAAAATATATTAAGGGAAACTTATCAGTTAGAAAAGCAACACTGGTAATAACGCAATTGTGTTACATTACAAATGCTACATGTGAATAGTGCCTGAATTTAAAGAAAATTAAAGGTTCAGGACACACCAGGTAAAGGTGATGAAATTAGATTTTGATGTAACAAATTAGATTTTTTTAAATGAAAATGTAAATTCAATAATGTCTGTTTGTTAATTCTGTCACATGTAGAGACTCAAACATCCGCTGACAACATTATTTGGTGAGCAGCAGGCCCAATAATGGCTCGTATTTCATGCAGTATTTCTATAAAA